GATTCCTCCATTCATTTTCCAGGACCCATGTAGCAGCTTAAATTTTTGTCCTTTGTGGCCACACTTGTGGTACACAGACATGTATATACCCATACACATAAAATAAAAAATAATATATATTTTTTAAATTTGTATTTGACAAATGCATTTGTCTGCAGTGTAGATAAGGCTCAGTAATTATTTGGTGAATGAATAAGCAAATTATTTTTATTCTTATTTAAATTATGATCTTTTGAGACAGAGCACTGTAGTCCAGGCTACCCAGAAACTTACTATGTAGATCAGGTTGGCCCTGAGCTTTCCTCAGCCTTAAATAAACAGAATCTTGTCCTGCTCTGGTCTGCAGCCACACTGGTGGCACTCTGGCTTTCTCCTACTGGGGAATTTTGAAGCAGCAGAGTCCCAGCACCATGCTAAGTACAGAACAAATCCAGGTGCTTGGGGGCACTGTGCCTGAGACTTTGTTTACAGGACTTCACAGAAGTTTGAAAATGGCCAATTTTTTATGGGTTGCTGTGCTTTTCATTTTACCTAATACATTCAAAATTTAATAGGTTTAAAAAAAACTTGCAGAGTATTCTTTAATGAGAAACATAATAGCAGTGAAGATTTAATATTTAATAATGAGAGAAAGATACTTTTTTTTAACTTTAGAAGTTGAGTTACATGACCCCCCCCTCCCAAATTCAGTGATCATTAATCCTGACCCATGGTATGATTCTTTTTTATTCTTTTCTGTCACTGTGAAGTTGAAGATAACCTCCAGAATAAAAAATGTGATTGGAGTCTGGGGGGGGGGCGGGGATTCCCCCAAATCACAGGGTTCTCATTTTGCTACACATTTTCAATTCCTTGAGAATACTTGCTACTGATCGGTACCCTCGTACGCTAATGGTAAGGACAGAAAACCTTGCACAAATAGCCTTTCAAATCAGAACGATTCGTTTCCATCATTCAGATGGTAAGGAATGCATTTCTTGAAGGCGAGGCTACTGTAGTCGTTGCAGGGCCTGTACAGCCCACAGGCCCACCTGTACAGACAGGAAGTCTGTGAAATCTTGAAATACCAGTGCTGAGAATTTGTGATGTTCCAGCTGCTCTTTAAATACAGGCTACCAGAAAAAAATCTCTCTTATTAGTTGAGTTTGGATGTGATCCTCCCCCTGCCCCCCGCATATATATGTATATGTATATATATATATATATATGTATATATATATATATAACTGGAAATCCATCAACTTTTATTGTTTCTTATCAAAATGAATTCCTACAGATTTGTAATCACATTGTCTAATAAAACCAAACAGCCGACCAATTTGCATATTATATGAAGGAGTGTCATGCAATTAACATAAAAGCTAATTATATGTCTCATCAGCCTACAAGAGTTTCTAAATCCAAGCCTAAGGTGAGGAGTGGTAACTTTTTGCATCTAAATATTGACTCTTAGCTAGTGTCTGTGGTCAGTCCATTCTTTAAAGAAGGAAAGCTGTCAGTTAAACAGGATCCGTGTTTGCTATAAAGCACTTATTAATGTTGCTACATTAACCAACCCTCAGGAAAGGAAAATCTTTGCAGCAACAAGAAATTGTCAGCCACTAAGCAGGTTAAGTGCACCTCCACGTCTGAAGGAAAACTACAAAACAGCCACGAAGATGAATGAAGCTTATTGGCAACCGTCAGGCTGTGATGGCAGAGAGGGGACGCATCTCAACTAACGTCCCCACGTCCATTGTGCTGTGACATAATTGTATTCCTGCCTGGTTGTGATAGCTATCAAGCAAGAAATTTGCTACAAGATTAACAGAGACACAGTAATGAAAAAACATGGAGCATGCTGTAATTGGCTGTTATTAAAGTGTAGTCATAGTAGTCTGTAACGAACTCCCTCGCGGCAGACTCCTGGAGAAACCCCAGCCAGAACTTCAGGCTACTTTTCAAAGTTGTGCTCTGGGACCTCTCAAGGCCTTTCCCCTGCCCACCTCACAAGCCAGTGGCTAGGAGAAGCCTAGGGTGGTGGGGTGGGGGTTGGATACTGCGTATGCCACGTGTGATTTAGAGGCGAAGGAGGGCTTGCAAAACTGGGAGGTGTCAGGTTTACTTTGATTGAGGTTCCCAAGGCTAGAGAGGAAAGGATACTGGATCACTTTTACATTTCTAACATGCTATAGGAGTCGGCATAAAACAGCAAGAGAACTGCTGGAGAAGCCTGACCGGGTTCTCCACTGACACAGCGGAGGCGACAGCGGCCCTTTCCATTCATATTTTAATGAGGCCAGTATCTCTGAGACAGTCCTTGCATGGCGGAGGCGAGGTTCCTGGAAGATCACAAAGGGAGTCGCTTTATTGACAAGTTCCATTCAAAACCTTCACTGTGTACAAAGAAAGACTTGGTTCTTATTCCACTTGTCTCAGTACTAATGCATTCTTAGAATCGGAACAATTTGGGGGTGAGATCAATTATTCTGTGAACAGTCTTTAAATTTACTAAAGGTGGTTCAGCTGAGTGGAATCATATTAATGTAGATTTTAATACATGTATAAAGAGCTGTGGTGAGAAACATCTTTTAAAAATGTTTTTCCAATATCCGGTGCTCAGGGATTTTAAGATCAAATTTTGAAGACTCTTCCGTAAAATGACCTCAGCACCCTCCTGTTGGGAGGGCTCTCTTGCCTTTTCCGGAGGAGCTTATAGTAGCTTGTAAGCCTTCAGCCAGCAATTGCGGCTGGTTTTAAAGACTCCTGCAAAGGGCTAGCTAGCTAACGCCATTCAAAAGCTGTCAGTCTTCAGACTTTAAACAACAACAAAAATCAGTAGAAATACACACACACACACACACACACACACACACACACACACACACACACCAACCTATTTGTGTTAAAGTGGGGCACGCTGCCTCCATATCCAAAGGTGTAAGGTTTTACTTTAAAAACAACTCACTGTTAAGCCCATTGGTGGTTTTAAAGTGGAGGAGTTGCTTTCAAAAAGTGTAACCCAGGAAAAATATGCAAAAGTAAAAGCTCTCAAAAGTAACGTGTAGAAAGAAGGCTTTCATGGTTTTGCCCCAGACTTACAAGGCTTAGCAATCTTCTGCATACAGCTCAGAGTACTAGGTCAATTTGAAAGGGGAAGAAAAACAGAACAGTTTCTAGGGAAGCGACTAGAAACGTTTAGTGTGTGAGGAGGGTCTTGGCCTGGTAACAGGACTTCGTTTCCCAGGGCCCTCTTCCGCACCCTGGGCCCTCCTACCCCAGGGCCTGCCCCACCCCCACGCATAGTCTGTTTGCTTTTCTGATGGGGGAGGGAAGGAGAGAGTGAATTTCCTGGTTGCTATTAGTTTTTTTGTTTTTGTTTTTGTTTTTTAATAAACAATCCCACCCTTCGCTGTGACTTGAAATCCTTTGTGGACAACCAGAAACTGCCATTTATGTGTATCAGTTAAGGAAAGCCGCTCAGCACACTGGTACCCCTGAAAGCACCGGCCATCGTCATGTTAAAGGCCTGCTTTGAGTCATTAACGTAAGAATTTGCCTTTGCGATCCCTAGCCTTTCCCAGCGCCGCCCCCCAGCGCCCCCCACCCCCCGCCACGCCAAGTTTATCGAAGTGTCCATCAGTTACTCGGTTTTCAGATGAGTGAGGAAACCTGTGATTTCCCTTTTTGCAACTTACAAAGTTTGAAAAGCATAAATAAAATGCCAGTTGTGATTGAAAGTGCCCTTGAAGAATTTTCATTTTTTCACTGTATATACATTTATATATAACATAATATATATATGTATATATAAATTTGGTGAATTTGGAGGAAAGAACCTGACACCTGCTGCAGAGTGTGCTCATTTTAGTTCGCAGACGTATTTAGTTAATTGCTCTTGCAAAGTCAGAACCTTGAGAGTTCCTGGCGGCCCGAGGTTCACCTGGGCCGCAGCAGGTGCGGGGTTGTGACCGTGCGCGCTCCTAGCGCGCCGTTCCTGCGCTCCGCGTAAAGCGCACTCCCAGGGTCGGTTCCTGGTGGACACTGGGGGCAGCGGCGACCTGGGGGTGTTGTTCGCGGGCCACGCCGCCCGCGCTTTCATGTTAATTGCGAATCGGCTTTGCGGCCAGATGGCGGGGAAGCGCCGGGACCCTTTGTGCGCCCTGAGCGCGCCTGTGAATGTCGCGCAGTCCTTGGCACCGGAAGGGTTCACACTGCGTGTGAAAGGGGACAAAGGGGGCTGGATATATCAACACTGCAGAAACCGAGTTCATTTGTCATGCAGCCCCTTTCAGCGCGGTTGTCATGCAAACTTCCTTCTTTGATCAGCAGAGGGTGGAGAGCGAGAAAGCGCGCAAAGCCGTGGGCCCGGCCGGGCGCCCTTGGCGGCTCCACGCCCCTTCCGGAAGGAGCCGCGGGGACCAGGCCTCCTGCACCTTGACCCGTCTAGACGCCGCACGAGGTTTTGTCTTGGTTTCCAAGGACGCGGGGTGCTCTTTGACCCGCGCCCGGGGCGGAGGTGGTGGCACGGAGCCCGGCGCGCCCCGGCAGGTCCCGGAGGGAGAGGGGCGCCCGGGACGCGCGCCAGCTGTTCCCAGAGCAAACCGAGGCCTGTGAGGGGCGCCCCGGGTCCCGCTATCTACGACCACCACGGCATAGACCAGGCACAGCCGCTGCGAGATGCCTGGAAGGAGAGGGGCGCAGCGCGACTTGGGATGGGCAGAAGCGTGGCTTCCGCACAGAACTGATGCGCTCTCGACGCCCCCATTTTCCTCCCATTTTCTGTGCTTCAGCCTCTACTCAACAACTTTTTTAAATGACATCTATAAGTAGAGTTTCTAGATTGTTCAGTTTCTTACTGTCCACTGTCAAGCATGTTGTTTTCTCGCTAGAATTTAAGCTCGCGCTAAACTACATAAAGAACGGTGCGGCTGCTTCCGTTGAGAAGCCGGCCTTCCACGTATCCTCTGGACTCTCGTGTGCGTAGGCAAGTGTCCTGGCTGGTTCTTTTCTTCTCATAGGTTCCCCTGGCCCAGTCCGAGGCGTTCCTCGTCGACCTTTTGGATAAAGTGTGTATGCGAATGAACGATTACCAGCTGGAGGACGACCCAGTGACCAAGCAGAAGTATTTCAGGAGATACGCTCCGAGAAAGGGAGACAAAATATACAAAGAATATAAAAAGTTCTTCTTTTATTCTGATGCCTTCAAACCTTTGAAATTCGCGGTAAGCCTCCCTTCTAAGAGCCTGTTGGGATCTCTTTTTTTCTGCTTGGGACTACTCTTGAGCTGTTGATGAGCAGTGGACAGTCAGGCACATTCACATGCCCTAGTGTCCTGTGCTGCCCGCTGCTTAAGTCTTAACTGAACACTTGGTGACTTGGCTTTTGACACATCTCCGGGATCATGGCATCCTTCAGTGATTAGTTTGGAGATTGAAGGGAGTTTTATGGAGGTGCCCTGTCCTGGTGCACATTTTTTATCAGGACATTCTGCTGTGGGGTGACTTCAGCCTGTTTTGTTTCTAAGGGACTGGGTTTCCACCTAAGGAAGTGCAGGGTTTGTGGTTTCTAGGCTGAAATCTGAACGGAGGCCAAGAGTCGTTTTCAAATATTTGTAGCTAAATGTTGGAATGGTAGCCCCAAGATCCTCTCTCCAACCCCCACAGGCTTCTCAAGGAGTGTTTTCCTGCGGTGAGTTCAAGTTTTGTAGCTCAGGCTTGGCTACACCAACGCTTGGGGTCAAGAGCACAATCCCACATTTCCTTCAGTATAAAGTTGATTTTACCGAAAAGTTGGCCTCTGGCTTACTAGGGTGTGCCTGGCAAATGACATTACAACGTATTTCCCCCTACTTAATGCTGTGGAATCACACAGTGATGGGCAGGCCTGTTTAAAAAAATGCATTAAGTTCACCCAGTGGCCAAAATGTCAGGCGAGCTGCAGCCCCAACATGGGGCTGGAGCTGACATTTGGAGATTTCATTTTAATTAAAAAGTGAGGGCAATAATTCAGGGCTAAAAGCCCCATGGAACTTGGATGGTGATGTGAGTGTGTTTGTCTTTCACAGGTTTTAAATAAACACATTATAGTGGAATTTAAATATTTTTTAAATGCCATTTAAAATTCTTAGAGTCTTGTTTAATGAACTCAGAGATGGTTTACAAGTCTCCAGTGAATGGCCATCAGTAACTCACAGTTCCAAAAAAAAAAAAAGGTAGCCTGGTAGTTCTTGATGGAGAAACACACTCCAGGCAGAATTTAACACTTTCAGATCCCATGGCAAATTTGTGCTTTCTCCTGCTGAAGTGTCAGCTTGATTTATTTTTATTTTTCATTTGCTTTGGAGAGCAGACCCAGGATTTGAGCTGGATTCCTAAAGGGTCGACAGAGAAACTTCCCAAGTGACTGCAAGTGCTCTGCAGCCAAGCTGGCAGGTGCCATTGTTGTGATGGCTGAGGGGACTCAGTTGTTTCCAATATTCGAACCACAAAGTGGGTTATTCTGTTAAATTGTAAGGAAACTGGCTTAACCATTGCCAGATGTGGTGTTTAAAATGTTGAAGGAAAACTTTCTCGCGTTGCTTCTTGTCTACTGCACTCCAGATTTCAGGAATAGAAAGAAACATAGCCAGCCATTTTCCTTCCTTCTTCCTTCCTCCTTCTCCTCCTCTTCCTCCTCCGAGGTCTTCCATCAGAGCAATCTTTTAGTTAAGTCTCAGGAAAATGATACAATTAGCCTTTCTGGAGGAGGGTTGCTCTTGTGCAATGATGTATCAAGCCAAAGGTGCCAAGGAAAATGGACTTCCTTGGTTACATGCTTTCCTGTGTTCCGCTACTAAAATGTCGCTAAACCTGTGCTAATCAGGGGCCCTCCCTGCCCCTGTGCCTCCGCTCACACGTGTTGCTATTGTGTTTCTGCAGTGCGAAGCCATCATTGAGAAGTATGAGGATGAGATATTCGCACTTATCGCCCAGGAGGCACACCATCTAGCTGACATGCTGTGCAGTGAAAAATCAGGTACTGTGTCTGATGTAACATGTGCTCCCAGGCTCGCTGCTCACCCGTTCTCACTCCTCCGTGCCCAGCTCATCTGCAGCCTAGGCAGGCTGCCTCCCTGCCAGCCCGGCTCAGCTCCCTCGACCCAGGCTTCTAGGGACAGGACCCCTGGGCCAAAAAAAAAACAGAGCTACAGAAACCCAGGCAGGAGCCTTCCCTGCTGATTTTCCTCCTCTGGTTTTTCAAAGACTCGACTTTAGTTGTAAAGAAACCCACTGCTTTTCAGAGCTGGGTGATCCCAAAGCCATTGACTTTAATTTTAAAGTCATAGATGTTAGGTTTTTCTATCCTGGCCCAGGGAGGGATGTGCTTAGGTATATTTTATACCTTAAGTATTTGTTCTAACAACAGAATGTGGGATTTTTATTTTGAAAGAAAAAGCATTAAATGTTTTTGCTTGTCTGGGTTGGGGGATATGTTGGATATTTTTTCCAGGTTCGTTTCCCTTTGTATCTACATCTAAAAAGTTTTTTTTTTTCTGTCTCAACATGTTTAAATAATACTTGCTTCATATTTCAGACATATGTATGCCCACTTAGAAACTAGAAAAAAATGAGCAGAACGTTATCTACTGTATACGAAGGTGAAGCCTATGACGGCTAGCCCCTCCTCAGCCTGCTCTCATTTTGACACGTTTATACAGAGATAAGAACAGAGTGGGTCTGTCGAGCAGAGCTTCTCAGATGTCCTTAGGAAGAAATGAATGAGTTTAGATGAAGACAATGGTTTAACCCAGTGTAGTGCCTGGTAAGCAAAAACTTGAGGTTAAATTCAGCAGGTATTCATAAAGAGTATATACATGTCACCAATATATCAAATGTGGTGCTCAGGAGTAATATTGAAGGAATATTACTATGTGCTTGTAGCTATACATTGGTATCATTAGAAGTTTCTAGATAAGAGGGCCACATACTCACTAACAAGACAGTTTAAGTTTTCTCACTCTGAGCAGACAATAAGGTTGCTTTCTATTTAAAATTCCATTCCAGTGGGAGCCTGTAGGAAAATGCAGTAAAATGTTAGAGAGAGGATTGTTTGGTAGCCTGAGATGTTTTATATTGTTCTGTGATCACAGAATTGTGACATTCACACAAGTTCATGGTCATACTTCCCAAAGAAAGGCTTGCTGAGGTTTTTCAATCAGTTTGGTTGTGTTAGGTGTATGTTAGCTTTTAGTATACATATGATGAGCAGGGTTTGAAATCTTCTTGCTAATTTTCCTTGTAAATAGCTGAACCAGCCATAGTCACCTATGATGGACACCAGAAATGACTACATGAACACCTAGGCATTCCAGAAAGACCTGAGGGGGTGTCAGCCACTGTCTTTGAGAGTCCCTGCCCCTGAATCAAGAGTCTGGGGGGAAGACAGCTCCCAGGTTCAGCGATTTGACACAGTCAGTAATGTTAGCACCTCTCTTCATTTTCTATATGGGTGTAATTGGAACTAAAAATGAAAATATAAGTGTGGAGAGAGACCTAAGAGACATGTAGGGCTGCTAATGTGAAAGCGAACACCAGACGACTGCATTTGATTGCTTTTCAGCCCTTCCCTGCCAGCAGCTGGGCCCTGCAGAATAGGAGGCGACCGCTCTGCTCCGGCGGTGGCGGCAGCATGGTGGATAGAGCTCTTCCAGGCTGGGCTTCTTCATGAAGCTTGTGATGGATACAGCAGCTTATACCCAAGGCCAAAACTGTGACAACAGTTGAGTGTTTAACAGAGATTGAGCACCCTTGGCCCTGCAACGGAAGCAGGCTAACACTGTGAGAGCAAGGTAGACTGCTTTTTCAGACTGACATAAATCATTGCCGGAAACAGGTTCAAACAGCGCCCAGTGATACACATGCCAGCCAAACCTCTAGTTCTAGAGGTAGCTATGCGCTAAATAATTACTTGTCTCCCTAAAAGCAGTGGGTGAGTATTACCCCCATTCTCAAGATAGCATCTTGTAAGTAATGTATACTCATGGAGCAGTTATTAGTTCATGTATAATTGCCTGACCTCGAACATACACACA